GTATATATATTTAAAATACAAAAAAATATATATAGAAATAAAAAGAAATGGGCAGATATAGAATGGAATACTCATTTCTAGCTTAATATATAAAAAAAATGGAAAATGTGTGTTTCGTGCTTTTATCACAAATTTAATTTTGTTGGAAATTTAAACATGCTGTAGAAATAAATGTTTATAATTTAACATCATAATAAATATACACACTATTTTTAGATAAACGATAGATACTTGCACAATGTGCTAATAACTAGAAAAAAAGATCTCGATTGTACTGTCATCACATGCTTAGGTATGCTTGGATACACGTGCGAGATGATAGAGCAGTAAAAATACGCGACGTTGTCTGATTTTAATATATTGAATAGAATGCAAAAAATTGCTTTTTCTAACATGCATATAAAATAATAATATCGGTAATGGCGCAATTAAAAATGTCGGTATTATCGACATTTTTAGTTACGTTTAGATGAGGGCGCTAACTCGTCGGAGTTCGCCCATCGCTTTAGCCCGTCACACATTTTTTTCTTTTATCATTCAGTCTTCGTTCAGTCGCCATACTATTCTTGTCTCATTCGTGAAACGTTTCCATCTACTGATAGATAACAAAGTTTACTACTTTAGACCTTTAGAGCAATAGTTACTTTCAAGAGGATTATTAAGAGGTGATCAAACGTAGTTAATATTTGTGTTTTTGAGAAGCCATAAAGAGCACTGAAACCGTATAAAAAAAATATCGTGAAAATGTGGCTCTTTCAAAGTCAATGCACCAGTAAAACTCGTCTCGTAGGCAAAACAGTGGTTATAACAGGAGCGAATACTGGAATTGGCAAGGAAACAGCTAGAGATCTTTACAGAAGAGGTATTTTTATAGATCCACTTTATAACTTTTCAAGTTATAACAGAAATGTATAATTTTATAGAATAAATATATAAATATCTAAATTTATTATTAATATATAAATATATAAATTTTGATACGCAGATATAATATATACACGTGTACGTATATCGTATATACAGTTATATATATATCGGAGACAAAAAGCTACTACGTTTTAAGACTTTTTGCATTAAGGGGATCCAAAAGCTCGTCTGTTTTACCGACCAAAAATTATTATTTTGCACATTGAAATCTTTTTTTTAGTTGAATAGAATAATAAATCCTTTTCCACGATTTAAGTGCACATCGAAACAAAGATGAGACTTCACGAGTTTATGTTAAAAACGAAGAAAAGCTAAAAAATTACAGTTTTTTTACCGGCTTCTTGCGTCAGGTCATAACAATATTTGCTTAATATAAAAGTTTTGCAGTTTGTATGCGCAAAATAGAATAACTTCGTCTTCGGAATTGCATGAAAGAATATAGGTGAACGTTTAAAAATGTATTTAGAAGCCTAGTAAAAAACATTTCGGTGTGCAAAATTTTGTTTCAAAATTTCCCCTTAAGTCTGGCTACAAAAAAAATAGCTGAAAATATTTATTAAATTATATCGTCGAAGTTATCAGAATCTTATTTTATTCTGTAAAACTTATTCAAAATTATTGATGATAGACTGTTATAATTTCAAATAAAAAATATAAGTATTTATAAACATAAGAAATTAACTATTACTAGTGCTCCAAATTGTAATTATTTTACAAGAGCATAAAAGTTAAAAAAAATTATGCATGTTTTTTTGTTAATAAAAAATTTAAGATTACCTTAATAAATATCTTTCAGAAAATATAAGATATAAAAAAATTAATTGTTCCTTGTTTGATGAGCTTAATCAAATATATATTTCATATATATAATGCAGTTTTTTTCCAAAATCGATAAATAACAAATTATTTTACAATTTTACATGACAATTGTTATAGACACTTTCTATGTATTTATATATATAAACTATATTATATGTTTCTATAGGTGCAAGGATAATTTTGGCCTGTCGAAATATACAAAAAGCCAACGATGCACTTGAAGATATTAAAAACAATCCACCCTCGAAGTAAGAATAAATAAAGATACAGTATATGCATTGTTATTAAAACATGGACAGATTGTATCTCATATGTTTGTAATTAATTATAACTTTCTGTTTAATAAGACAATGATATGTATATATATAT